ATATATATATACACACATACGTACCTATATACCTATATACATATACGCAGATACCGAGAGAACCCCTGTATGGGAGCGTCCATTCTCTTAACCTAGGGGGTCATGCAGTCATTCACTACTACTAGTAGTAGTAGTAGTAGTAGTAGCAGCAGCAGAACCCTAAACCCTAAACCCTAAACCCTAAACCCTAATTATTCAGAACCCGAGTGACAACTTTTTTTGTACCGGGATTTACCCACTGCATAGCAGAGTCGGAAGACCTGAACTCACAATCGTCCCCGCGGTCACATGTGCGACTTAGGGCTTAGGGCTTAAGGCGTAGTTTTAGGGTTTATAGGGCTTAGAGCTGAGGGCTTAGGGCTTAGAGCTTCGGGCTTAGGGCGAGTCCCCTTGAGTTACTGCACGAACAACCCTCCTCATAGCTAAAGAAAACTACAGGTGGGGAGCTTAGGGTATATAGGGCTTCTGTAAGGCTTCCATAAGGTATATAGACCTTCTAGAAGGCTCCTGTAACGGTAACTACCCACCTGAAAATGTCCTAGACATAGCCCATTTGCTAAGCCGCGGTCCTCACAGTTTAAAAGCACTGATTGTGCAGGTCCCGAGGTCCAAAACCATAGAACCCCAAGCACTCTATGGAACCCCAAATAAGAGCAACGCTAAACTTTAAAAGCCCTCCAAAAAAACCTTCATCGAGCCCAACCCTAAACCCTAAACCCTAAAGCCGAAACCCTATCAACCCTATAAACACTAAACCCCTAAACCCTAAACCCATTTGGGGCTCCCCAGCCCTGACCGAGTGCTCGGCTGGCATGTCTGTGGAGGTGATGCAAATCAAACCTCCATCCGCGACGGCCTCTGCCGTAGGGTTTCGGGGTTCAGGGTGTAGGGTGTAGCGTCAGGGGTTTTAGGCTTAGGGTTTGTTGTTCAGGGTTCTTCAGGGTTCAGGGTTTAGGGGCTTTTTGTCGGATTTCGACACTGGGCTTAGGAAAGTAGTAGAGGATTTTGTAGGGCTCCGCTCCGGCAGGACTGGGAAGGGGAACCCGAAGACTCCAAAAGCCCTCTAGTTAATGGGTTTAGGGTTTAGGGTTTAGGATTTAGGGTTTAGGGTTTAGGGTTTAGGGTTTAGGGGTTTAGGGGTTTAGGGGTTTAGGATTTTAGGGGTTTAGGGTTTAGGGGTTTTTAGGGGCCTTCAGAAT